GGGAGCCCGGGGGGGCGGCGCTGCGGGCGGGGCCGAGCGGGTGGGAGGAGGCGGAGCGCGGACGCACGTGGGCTGCGCTGCCTCCGACCCGGGCGCTCCGCCCGCCGGGACCCGAGTCACGTATTTTCAGCACCGTGACCACGAGGTTCCACGGTGCTTACGGTGCGAAATGCGAGGACGAAACGCACGTTTCGTGAGCCGTAACACTAAGTCACACCCGCGGTCACCGAAAAGGTTCTGCGCTTCCCCGTTTTCTTCGGGAATGTTTATACACGCACAGTGGCTTGTCTTTAAAGCCCTCCCCGAACTATCGTTTCATTTCATTGGAATTAATCCCAAACTCACACTGGGAAAGTATTTTCTGGGATAACGTTAGTTTAAAAGTATAATGCAGTCGATGTTATTCTAAGATATGACCATCGACGCACATGCCTGAAAATAAACAACAGCTTTAAATTTTCAACTATGAAACTGGCGTAATGGTATCTTTCAAAATTGCTAAACATTTCATAACTCAAGAAAGAAATGCTGATGTCTCTCTAGTTACATAAAATTGTTTATTCATGAATATCTGACTTCTTTAAAACTCTCCGGTGTCGTGTGTGTATGTGCACGTGCGTGTACATGAGGCGCATTTTAAAGTCAGGTGTTTTCTACTCTATCACCCTCCACCTTTCTTTCTCAGACAAGGATCAGCAAACGCCCAGAGTCCGCCTGTCTTCTCCCTCCCTACCGCTGTACCGGGGTTGCAAACCTGTGTTGTAACCAGGCTTTTACGTGGGTTCTGTGGATCTAAACCGTGCGCTCTACCCACCGCACTGTCTCCCCAGGCCCTAAAACCCTAACCTCCCGTGCTCTCTGCTGGCCTGACAGCTGTGCTTCCTGAGAACACAGTAAAAGATGGGCAGTCTGTCCCCCAGAATAGTGCTGTAGCTCAGACCTTTGTGTAACCCTGTCCTTCAGTATTTTACTTCATCCTGAGTTACCCACTTTGTAAACCTACCTTGTAAACAAGTAACTCTGAAGATCTGATAGTTGGATTCCTGTTGACACTTTGGTCAGCAAGTCTGCATTGAGTTGGACTGAAACAATACTCCCATCTAGTGACAGAAAGGTGAATAACATGCAGTCTCCCATATTAAAATTTAATTTTTTAAATGAGTGTGTGTGCATGTGTTCACACATGTTCACGCCTGAGACACCACCTTTTGTTTACTCCCCAGGAAAGCTGTTCACCTTCTTTGAGACAGGGCTTGTCATTGGCTTGGAGCTCACCAATTCAGCTAAACTGACTGGCAGCAAGCCCCGAGGATCCTCCTGTCTCTGCCTCCCCAGTGTTGGGATCATAAGCCCACAGCACCACATTGGGCATTTACACGTAGGTTTTGGGGACTGACCTGTCCTTGTGCTTGCAAGGCAAGCACTGTATAGGCTTAGCTATCCCTCTAACCCCCTTAAAGACAATTTCTAAATGATAGGTGCATGGTCAGCTTAGGGAATTTTTTCTTTCTTTTTTTAAAGAGAGCTACTCAATTTCATTTGAATTCACAAACTTCATCTCTGATTAACCAATAAACTATAAAGAGATTAAAATGCAAGGACTATGTCTTCACATTTAAAAGGTTAAACCTAGGCCTGGAGACATGGCTCAGTGGTTAAGAGCAGAGGACCTGGGTTCGGTTCCCAGCACCCACGTGATAGCTAACAGCCATCTGTAACTCCAGTGCAGGGGACATGATGCCTTTTTCTGGCCTCCTCAGGCACTGCAGGCACCCGGTGCAGGTGCATACCTGCAGGTGAAGCACTCATACACTAAATACAATTTAACCCTTATTTTCACCTATATTTTAAATTCTGCTCTAAAATATTTCAATATGCAGAATATTTAATCCCCAGATCTTGGTTTTGAATTCACGTTTCAGAATTCAGCTAGTGTCGATAGACTCACTACTCTGAGCTGCACCCTAATCGGGAGCTCTTAAGCACAGACACTCGCTTCAGAGCCAGGCCCACAGATGTCTGGTGATGGACAGCTCCTGCAACTCCTTCCTCCTGAACCAGTAATGAAACCATTTTCTTCCCTCCTCACTCGTGCTACACAATGTACACCAAATTCTCTCCGTTTGTCGTTTCTATTTTAGCTTTAACCTCTTGATTAAAAAATAAATCCCAGACAACAAGAGCACAGATCCAGTGGCTTTTGTCTTTGCAGAATGATTTGCTATGAAGGTGGGATTTTACACGAAACGCCGTTTTTCACCTGCCTAGTAGCTTACTGAGAACTCCACACTGTAGTCTGCACTGCACTGCTCTCCTGAGGACTCGACTGCCCCGCTGGACAGCTGCCTGTAATGTGGAACACAGCTGTGATAACCCTTTTCGACTTTCCATGGTGGCTTTTGTGGCTGGGTTCCCTGCAGGTGGATTCCCTGTGCTTCTGTGACTTGCTGGACACTGATGGGAAGGAACTACCATCTGCGGCGATCCTGTGCCCCGACACCTTAGGCTTGGGGAGGTTCCAGCTGTCACCCACACTGCCCAGCAGGACAGGTACTTCTTCACGAGAATCCACGCCACAGCTGTATTCATAGTAATTTAATCATCTTAGGGCAGGATTTCTGTCTGCTGAGAGCTTGCTTTCCCTTCTGCACAGGTCTGTCTCTTGGGCACAGTCTAGCTGTGAGAAGTGGATTTCCTCTGTGGTTCTGAGACGCTCTTGCTTGAGTATGCAGCCAACACATCCCAACATCTCACAGCCTTAGTCATAAGGCAGCAACCACATTCTGAAAATATCCTCAGTTCCATGAGGTTTCCTGTCTCTATCAAATAATCTCTTCTGTGATTTCTGCATGTTTTTAATGCTTTCTACTGAGTTCAATGCTTTAATAGAATTTAAATGTTCAGTGTTTAAAAATTAATCAATTGTATTGTTATCTGCATGGGAGTGCCATATTGGCCAAAAGACGTACATTGCTGCTTTAAATTGTCTTTTCCAAAATTAAGACATCAACACTTCAAGTGAAGGTTTAGCAGGCAGGGCATTTAAGAGGTGACTGAGCCATTCTGACCTCTCTCTCCTAAGTGGGACTAGCTATCTTTATAACGGGGCAGGCAGAGGCTGACAGAAATGTTTCTGTCCTTTATAAAGTACTCAGTCTGTGCTATTCTGTTATTGCCACATGAAAAGGCTAAGGTGGATATGAAGAGAAGCAGTTCTTTAGAGCTCTGATGCACCTATGAGTTATATATTACATATATACACACGTCATACGTCCTTATGTGCAATTCACTTGTCAATGATGTTTCACGGAACAGTCTTTTAAAAATGTGGGCATGAAGCTGGGCATGATGGTGCACGACTGTAATCCCAGCATTTGGGAGTTGGAGACAGGAGAATTTCCAGGAGTTTGAGATCTGGGCCAGAACGACACAGCAAGACCCTGTCTGAAAACAACCAAACCAACCAACCCAAAGTAAAACAAAACCCCAACAAAAGAAAACAAGTTTCTATCTGTGTGGAAATAAAAATGATCCTAAGCCTTACCACACATAGAATGCATCAGATTTAAATGTAAACACCGAAGTATAAATCTACATGAAAGCATTCCTTTCATCTCCTCCATCTTAGGAGTGCTCCTGAAACTCACTGTTGGTGCGTGCGACTATGCTTTTTGGCCAGGTACAGTCTTCATTTTTCCTCAGTGCTAACAACCTAACCAATTATTTCTGAATGGTTGGGCTATGTATTTATGCATCTTTACTGACGGCTTGGATGGGTTTAGAACCATCTAGGAGACACTTCTGGGTGATTCCAGAGAGGATTAACAAAGGAGGGAACTGAGTACAGGCAGCTAGAGTCCCAGACAGAATGAAAAGGTAGAAAGGGGAAAGCCAGATATCGTGGCATTCATCCCGGCTCCCCGTGGACGCAGTGACCCGCTATCGTGGTATTCATCCCGGCTCTCTGTGGACACAGTGACCAGCTGCCCCATGCATCTGTCACCACCATTTCTTGCAAAACGGACTATATGGACTGGATGCCCCTCAGACTGTGAGACAAAAACACCTTTGAGTTGCTTTTCTCAAGGATTTTGTCAGCAGCAATAAGAAGGGGTACAGAAAACTGGCAGAGAGGAGACTAGCTGTAGTCATCTAACGTGGTGGCTTGCAGGACTCTGGAACTGGATTATGGGAGGAATTGGGAGGTCTGCCTCTGTGGGCAGAGTGGAAGGCCAGAATGCAGTGGACGTGCAGACGCGTCAGAGCTCACGAGGATTCAGGAGGGAATTACATTGGGAACTGGACCAGAGGTCATCCATATTATACTCTGGCAAAGAATGTGGCAGCACTTTTACTCCCTGACAACTGGAGGCTGAACTCAAGGCTTGGACTTACTGGCTGAGGAAATGTTACAGTGTAACATCCAGGCAGCAGCATGTGCTCGTGCCTCTTACCATTTGTAATGGGAACAGTGACATGAGGAACTGCAATTTAGTAATCCAATAGGGCCGAGTTTGTGGACAGAGTAAACAAAGGATGTGTGATTGTTAGACTAGTGCAATTAAGGAGAAAGCTCACATTTTCCACCAAGAGGCAGAGGCACCACCACAGACAGTAGACGGGAGGGCAACTGCACCTTGAAATGGCAGAACTTGAAACATCAACATGGTGCTGGTTTAGTTCCAAGTTCACAGAGGCTTACACCAATGTTCTAGAAAGCCAGAGACCAGGAACACATGGCAGGGGCAGCTTCCCTCCATGAAAACCTTCAGAGCATTGTGAAGTTCTAAAAGTGAAGCTTAAATTGCGGTGGGGACCCCAGAACTATGGGACTGCCGAAAGCTGCAGGCATGGAGGCGGC